TGTAGACGGATTTTATTGTGATGTGTGTAGATCTGGCACCCCCACCCTCAGGTGCGTGAAGGGAGGCTCCACCAAGCCCTGTGTAGACGGATTTTCCCTACACCTACATTCCCGTGACACCATGTACTTTGGACATGAGGCGTGGTGGGAGATAACCCTTACAGCAACCTACTCTGAAACGTTACTTAGAACTTCTAAGTTGCTCATGTCTAGAATTTTCCATGGTAGCTGGGACCACAGTTGACGCTGGGTTACTGAGACCCCAGGAGAGAAACCTCAGCTGAGGGGCTGGGCAGGTGTCCATGCAGCAGCACTGGACTTCACAGTGACTTCTGTGCTCTGAAGTGACCCAAATGTCCGTGGAGCTTCCCGCCAGCAGCATCTGCAGAAATGTCAAAATAAGTCTTTTTAAAAAAAGAAATTTTCAAGGATGTTTTTTACAGATCTACAAAAGTCGGCCTCTGGGCGAGTGTGGGCTGCCACCTGGTTTTATCAGGAGTGTTGTGTGGGACACACCCACGTGGCCACGGCCGACTTCCGCAGGCTGAGGGTGGCAGGGAGGGACAGGAAGGCCCCGCGAGGCTCCCCAGCCCGCACACGCCTGGGCTGCTCCCGCGATGACGGAGGACTGCGGTTCACTCCGCCCAGGAGAGCAGACGTTTGGCTCCTGGAGCTGAGTGGATCCCACCTGGTCAAGTCAGGCTTGTGTTATTCACAGCACGGAGGAGCGGGGTGGGGAGCAGTGTTCCCCGAGGGGACCCTGCGGGCAGCCGAGTACCACGTGCATAAGGAAAAGCCTGGCACGGAGGGTCAGTGCAAGCCTCAACGTCAGCCGTCCACTGGGGGCCTGGAATGTGGCCCCCACGGTAAGGGGACTGCTGCATAGTTCAGCCTCGAGTCAGTCCCGTAGTCGGCCCTGTTGTCCCCTCACCGTTCTTCAGAGGGACCGAGTCTTGGAGAGGAATGTGGACACTCACAAGGTCTCTGAGCTGTTGCTGGGCCCAGCTGAGACTGGACCCAGCTCTGTTTGCTCCTGAACTGCTGTGACAGATGGTGACATCGTGCTGTACTCCAGAGGTGGGGCAGACAGCTCTTACATGAGGGCCACACCGAGCTGCCCCCTCCGTGGTGTCCCTGAGCACATCTGACTGCCGACCGAGCTGGGAGTGACGTCTGCTTTCCGACTCTGCGGTTTGGTGGCTTTGAAGTGCATTGGCCCCGGGAAATGGCTTGTTTCACATCCTCTGTGGCTACCGTCCCTTCAGACTCAGTCCCCGACATACAGAGAGGAGCTCCGGTGACAGGAAAATGTAGTAAACGGAGGAGTTGTGGGGCCAGAAGCCCTGCCGTGACGTGGAAGATGGGCGCGGGCGGCGGAGGTGTTGGCTGGTGCGCGTGACATCTCCACCTCCCGAGTGAGTGGGACGCTATTTTCCCTATCACTTCCATGGTGTGAAGGCCAGCAAGCCCTGCATCCGCAGACTTCCTCCCGGAGCTCGGGAAAGCACGGAGAGATCCGTGGGCTGAGGACGAGGACCGCGTGGCAGGGTGCTCACAGAGGCCGTTTAGGGTAGTGGCAGCCGTGAGGAGGCCCACAGTGTGCTGGCCGTGCCGGGCCTGCTCCCGTCCCTGTGCGGGTGTGTGCCCCAGCGTGTCGCACCTCACCACACGTGGGTGAGGGGGGCCGTTGTAAAATGGTTCTGGTGATGAGGAAACCAGCTTGCCCAAGGTCACAGGGAGAGCCGTGGCAGAGGCGGGATGGGAACTAACTGACCCCAGGGTCACTCGTGGGTGGCCAGGGAGGGTGCAGAACAAATCTCTGAGGACAGGCGAGTTCCCAGAGCAGAGACAGAGTGCTGCAGGGACAGTGCAGGCTCAGGACGGGCCGAGGCAGGACCCTAGCTGCTGTCACAAGAAGGGACCCTCGTGACCGCCGGCCTCTGTGTTGGTGGGTTCCACTCCCACAAGTCCAGCCGGCCAAGCAAGACTCACAAGCACTTGGAGAAGCAATCTGCATCGGTGCTGGACACGTGCAGACTTCCTCTAGTGCAGCAGGACGCTCATGGTGCTCCACGGCCCTGGGTGGAGACATCCGGGACGATTCCCAGCTTACGGGACGAGGGGCACAGCTCCTCGGGAAACCCCAGGCTGTTTGGTGTCAGGCTCGGCGTATGCCTGTTGGGGTGATGGTGCCTGTCTGTGCAGTGACAGAGGGCTTTGGGCTGCAGGGAGCAGAGCAGACCCCAAAAGCCCCACGAATGGCCTGACGTAGTCCGCCGCTGAGCGGGGCCCGCCCTGTCAAGGGAATTCGGCATTCGGCAGGAACAAGGCCTCTGTAGAGTGTGCATGTTGGATTCACTGTCCCCACGGGGACTGTTAACTTGGGGGCCGTGATGGAGGGAGCCTGGCTGTTTTTACTAAAGAAAGCACCTGAACTGAAATGGCTGGGTGCAAAACCTCTGCTCTGTGAGGCAGGGGTGCTCCAAGGTGGTTCCCGCCTTCCACACCTGGGGAAGCGGCTCTCCGCGGACCAGCTCTGCACACCTCATCCCTGGGACCATCATGGGAGAGTTTGCTCCTGATGCTGAGCGGGCTTGCTCTGCTGATGATCAGGGTCCACAGGAGTGAGCCGGGGACAAAGAGGACTTGGCCTCTGAGGTCTCCACCCCACCCTCCAGGCTGCAGGCCGTGTTCCCTCAGAAGCACCAGCTTGTGTGTGTGTGCTCTTCCAGACTCTCCCCGTCTCCTTGGGGGTGCCGTCCTGAACCCCAGGGCCCTTGTGGCCATTTGCATTAGCCGCCTCCTCCTTCTCCCACTGTGGCCTCTAGGCACAGCTGGACCTTTCTCCCCCGGGACTTTTCCACTAGATGGTCTCAGTGCAGAGGAACAGGAGGGTGCGGGCGTGCAGGTGACCAGCACAACAGGAGGCTACCCAGAGTGGACACTTCAATTTTATAAGGATGCGTGAGTCCTTGCCTTGGAGGAACGAGGCAGGAATGTTGGAGTGTCCGGCAGAGCAGCTGGCCGGTGATGGAGTATTCCAGACCCGCACATAGAATCCAGGGTCCTCTGCCAGCAGTCTCTGCACCGTTTTATAGTAGATCCATTTGTCATGGATAGCACCGCTCTGGGCCCCTGTGACGGTGGAGAAGCTTCCATTCGCTGGCTTCTGGTCGCTCCTCCGGTGGGCGGCTCCGTGTGGTGAGCTTCGCTCTCACAGACTGTCCGTCAGGTGGTGACCCAGCCCGGCCCATGGTGGCCTGGACGGAGATCCCCACGGTTCCATGGCCTGTTCCTCTCTGGGCTGCCCATCTCTCCCACCCCCCTCCACCTCTGGACCTCTGTCTTGTCCTTGGATGGACAGAGTTGTAGAGAGGAGGTATCTGCTGACCTGAGTGGACAGGAGTGGGGAACCTGTGAAACTGTGTGTGGTGGCACCCGCTGTCGTGCCTGAGTCTGCCTGCAGATGCCGAGCATCAGGTGAGAGGTGGAGAAGGGCGTTGGTGACGTGTCGGGTGGAGAGCTGGGTTCCACCTCTTGACCACGAAGAGGACACACACACACGTGAACACACACGCACACGTGCACACACACCTAAGTCAGCATGGTGCTTGACACACTGCTCCACTCGTGCAGAACGCCCAGGCCACGTGTTCCACAGCCGTTCGGCCTCTGAGCCTCAAGAGGAGTGGGGCAAGGAGACGTCCTGGGGAGGGGAATGGTGGCGCGCAGGCCCCACGGCCTGGGGTCTCCAGGGGGTGTGAGCACCGTGGGAGGTCACGGCAGGACACGGTGGCTTCCCTTGAACTGGGAAGAGGGGCCCTGGGGGAGCCTCTCGGACGTATCTTGCACGGGTCGTGAACTCGTGCGGTGGTCCAGCTGTGAGCGCCAGCGCCCTGTGCCGGGTCCTGAGCCAGGAGATGCCACAGAAGAGCAGCAGGGCAGCCGGTGGAGAGCTCATGGCACCTGGCCATGGCAGGTGGATGTGGAGCGTCCAGGAAGCGCCTGTTTGGGGGATGAGGTCGTGTCTCCCAGCAGAGCACCCCTCTGTGGGGACCAGGGGCAGGTGGAGCTGTGGCTTCTGTTCTTGGACGTCCCTGGGCAGCGTCATATTCATCCCCAGCAAAGATGCACATGTAGAAATGATTCCCCAGACGACAGGGAATAGTCTCTCTCCCAGCTTCACAGCTGGGGTCTGCTGCACCTTGCAGGCCCTCGGGGCTTGAGCCGGGGGCACGGGGCTTTAGGAGCCGGCCAGCTGTCCTGTTTCTGACAGTCAGATGTCATGGTGATGTCACTGGCTTTTTTCTGTGATGGTCTCACCTTGGTGTGGAGTAGGTGGCCTCAGCCCAGGATGGATGGGGTGAGGGGCAGGTGGTCTGGCCCGTGGAGGTGGAGCAGGGGTGGTCCTGCGGCCCCGGGGTCCCTGCAGTTCTGCTCAGGGAGGCTGCTGCTCGCCGGCTTGGCCCAGCAGTGCCCTTGGGGGACTCAGGCCTGTTGTGCTGGTTCTGTACAAAAACGCTTGAGAAATGAGCCAGAAATGTGGTCGGGGAAGCCACATCTGTCACTTGAAATAAGGTTCGGTGCCTGAGAGGCCAGTCTGCGGCTGCTGGAGGGGAGTCTGTTCTTGTGGGAACCGACACCGAGCGGACAGGACTAGCACCAGCCGAGACGGGTCCTGTCG